CATGGGAGCGCCATGCTGCTCCCATAACTACCCGCGCGGCCGCATTCTGGACCAGCTGGAGCCTCCGGGTGCTCCTCAAGGGGAGCCCCATGTAGAGAGCATTACAGTAGTCCAGGCGTGAAGTGACGATGGCATGAGTGACCGTTTTTAACGAGTCCCGATCCAGAAAGGGACGCAACTGGCGAATCAGGCGAACCTGATAAAAAGACCTCCCGGCCACAGCCGTCAAGTGTTCTTCTAAAGACAGCCGTGAGTCCAAGAGGACGCCTAAGTTGCGAACCCTCTCCGTGGGGGGCAATGACTCATCCCCAATAGTCAGTGATGGCACCAATTGACTATATCGGGACGTCGGAAACCACTGCCACTCGGTCTTGGATGGGTTGAGCCTGAGTCTGTTCCTCCCCATCCAGATCCGTACAGCCTCCAGGCACTGGGACATCACTTTAAGGGCATCATTGGGGTGGTCTGGGGTGGAGATGTATAGCTGAGTATCATCAGCATACTGATGATACTTCACCCCAAAACCACGGATGATCTCACCCAGCGGCTTCACATAAATGTTGAACAGAAGGGGTGAGAGAACCGACCCCTGTGGCACCCCACATACAAGGGGCCTCGGGGTCGACCTCTGCCCCCCTGTCAACACAGACTGCGACCGATCAGAGAGAAAGGAGGAGAACCACCGCAACACGGTGCCCCCCACCCCTAACTCTTCCAACCGGTGCAGCATGATACCATGGTTGATGGTATCAAAAGCTGCTGAGAGGTCTAATAGGACCAGGATAAAGGAGCAACCCCTGTCCCGGGCCCTCCAGAGATCATCTACCAATGCGACCAATGCTGTTTCTGTGCTGTATCCAGGCCTGAAGCCCGACTTTATTGCATAGTCCTGACTATTGCATAGTCTTTTAATCAATCCAAGCCTTTAGCCATTCAAAGCAATCCGAAGTTACAGATATCTTCTTACCAGACAAACAGCAGTCGGTAATAAACAGCAATTCACGCTGGTAACAAATCACGATGGTAGCATATCTATCCACGTCTTCACACACTACAGTAACAGTTCCAATCAACAGTTCTAGTCAAGCAGCAAGTCAAGCAATGATGAGAGCAGGTCCAACAATGACTATAGCTTGGCTCTGTCCTTATATACAGTTTACACTAGTAATTATCCACTTAAGATAAGTGAAGTCAGCAGTGCAATGACTCAACAGTACAATTAGGATAATTGCAGTCAGCATTCAGTCAGCAGTCAGCAGTCATTACAATGACTCAGCAGTACAATTACTCAGCATTACATCTTAGAGTTACAGAATACATTTAAAGTTATAGCATACATATATTGTCTGGACAACTTGTTAGGTTTACTCCATATCCTAACACTTTCTCTGAATGACTGTTTATCAAGACTTGCAGACTGTAAATGAAGTAATTTACAGTAGTATAAATAAAAGAGGTTTTTCGGGACCAAGATTGTGCTTTATACTTTCTAAGGAAGTCTAGGTCAGAACAAACACATCCATTAAAAGTAGAACTCCAAGGCAGGTAGATTCCTTGGAGAACATGTTTATTGGATATGTCATATTGGCAGACCTAGTGAAAACCAACTCTAAAAGTTCCCACTGTTTTCCCCCTAATTAAAAGAACAAATATTTCCTTCCTCAGATGTCACTGGTCACATTGTCCAATGAAAGCAGCTGGGACGCTGCTCGGTCACTCCTTTCCTCCTTCACCTGTCATCTTTTGGGATGACCTTGGTTCCCACAAGAAAACTTTTTGTTTTGATTGGTCTATCTACTTCCCCCCTCCCTTCCCCCTTTTTAAGTTCATGGCAACTATGAATGAGGAAAAGATGGCTTCAACCAGGTTCGCTTCAGAGTTGACAGTGCAAAAGAAAAGGGAAAATATAAAGGAGGGAGGAGGGGGGAAGAAAGAATACAATGACTTCCAATCTTCATCTCAACAATTTTTCACCTCCTTTTAATTTACAACCAATGATCTCTTCATTCCATGTCCCATCTCTTATCTATAAATAAAGTAATAGAGCATTGTCATTTCAGTCCTCGTGTCAGCAAAGGTTCATTAAGGATTTCCAGAAATAACAGCATATCTATTTTAGTCTAGATTAAATGAACCAATTTTATATTCCTTCCTTTCCTCTAACAATCTTAATCTTTAGATCGTTCAAGTAATATTGATTTCATTTTTTTTATTCCTTCTCACAAAATTCACTCAAGCTTTAACAAACCTCATTTGTAAATCCAATATAAAAAAATTAGCCAAGCAGTCTCTTGGTTTATTATTCCTTTTCTTTTATTTTTAAGTAATCTGTCTGAAGTTGGTTTCCTGATGTGGTCTAGCTCACAGGACTGACGTCCGGCAGAGGTTGGGAGTAATGGGAGCAACATCGTGGCAATTACCCTTGGTATCTAAGAAGAATCAGTTCACACTACCCAATCCTTGTAAGAACCCTTGAAGCGCTGGAAGACTGCTATGGTATAACAATCCCCTCAGCCTTTTCTTCTTTAGGCTATACATACCCTGTTCATTGTTCTTCACTGGATTTAATTTCCAAGTCTCTTACCATCTTTCTCACTCTTGAATGCGCTGTTTTCAATTCTTCTGTGTCCCCTTGCTCAGGTAGTCCTCAATTTATGGCTGTTCATTTAAAACTAGCCCAGAATTACAACAGCCATGGAATGAGTGCTTTGTGACTCGTAAAGCACTTCTTGCTATCGCAAAATGAGGCATCCCCACCCCTGTGGTCACATGATCTGGGTGCTTGGAAATCTGTTCCCACTTACAACTGCTCACCAAGTTACCTTGCAATCATGTGGTCGCCATTTGCAAACTTTTCTGCTGGCTTCCAGAAAGTCATTGTGGAAGCTGGCAAGGAAGGCTATAATTCCTTGCCAGCTTCCACAAAGGGAGCTCTTTGAGAGTGAAATAGCTGTTTGCTGAAAAAGAATCTCAACTGAGAAAGAATCTCAGCTCTGTGTGGAGCTATGATTCTCTCCCCACTCCCCGGAAGGTAGACTTTCAAGAACAAAAGGACTGCCTAAAGAGGTCAGGGGAATTCCTCCAGCAGAATGCAAAATGCAGAAATGACAGTCAAATCCCAAAGATCTGAGCTCTGTTTCTGCCGTCCTTCAGAGGAATTCCCCTTCACACATGGAAGGGAGCTGAACTCAGCAAGCAGACCTTTTGCTTCATCCAAATAATGACCTGGAAGATCGCTTAATGTCTGCAACTGGAAATGCCAGGATTGCAGTTGTTGAGCAAAGCAGACACATGGGCATCAATGGGGGGTTTCAATTTTTTTTACTACTGTTCTGTGGGTGTGGCTTGGTGGGCGTGTCATGGCTTGGTGGGCGTGACTTGGTGGGTGTGGCAGGGGAAGGTTACTGCAAAATCCCCATTTCATCCTGATCAGCTGGGACTTGGGAGGCAGAGAATAGATGGGGGTGGGCCCAGTCAGAATTTTTACTACTGGTTCTCCAAACTACTCAAAATTTCCACTACCAGTTCTCCAGAACTGGTCAGAACCTGCTGAAACCCACCTCTGATGGACATCTTTCTTAACAATCACTTTGTGCAACTACCAAGATTCCAGACCCAATTGTAGTGATAAGCCAAAGACTATAGCACCTGTATTGTGGTGATCAGAACCAGACACAATATTGACTGTTATGGTCTGACCAGTGGAATAGAGTGGAATTATCAGTTACCATGATCTGAACACTGTGCCTATGTTGATGTAGTTCAACATTGCACTACCTCTTTGGGCAACTGAAACATTCTGTTGGCTAACACTTACCCTGTTGTGAGCAAGACACCCAGATTTTTCTCACAAATATTGACTTTATTTATTCAAACATTTATATCAGCATTCCCCAACCTTTGTGGCCCAGTGGGTGGGACAGGGGAACCAGGCCATGCAAGTGGTGGGCCGGCTTGCACGCAAGCAGCTCGACTTGCACAAGTTGAGCTGTGTGCACATGTGCATATATGCTGGCCCGCTACTCATACAGGTCGAGCTGTGCATGCACTCTTGCACCCAAGTCTGCTACTCGCAGGGCCCGGTTCCGAATAGGCCATGGCCCAGCAATGACCCATGGCCCGGAGGTTGGGGACCCCTGATTTATATAGCCACCCATCTTTCAACCAACTCTGGGAGGCTCCAGAATGAAAAGTACTACTGTTGAGCCAGACATTGGCTTGTAGTTATGCGTCTGGGTTTTCCACCTAACCTGACATATTTCATAACTGAACTGCATTTATTGGAAAAATGGGACGAGACAGAGGAGCAAAGCATAAAATTGTACAGTCTGTGCTACTGTGAAATGTGTCTGTTTTCTACATGCCAAGCACCAGGTTCTACCTAATTTTAAATGCTCTCAATAGAAAGTGTATACTATCTGAAGCTTTCCCTCTGGGGCATTCTTCCAAATGAGCAAGTTGTTATAACATATTTAGGATACATAGAATATCTCATATAAATGTAATATTCTTTTGATTCCATTCAACTGTGTGTTTTTCAGAAACAATTCACTGTGTGCTTTATACCCAGAAAATATAAGAGATATAAAATAGATAAGGAAAGAATCTTGATTAATGTAGCATGTTATCTGATAAGACATATTTTGCCTAGACAAGGTTAGCAAAAAAAAATGGAAAATCAAAGTATACTTAATGTCTGCCAGTTTTTCAAATTTGAAATATCTACATACTAATGACACCTGAGAAGGAAAGGAGAGAAACTTTCTCCCTAACATCACCACCAACAAATATAACTATTCAGTATAGAGAGCTCATGCTAGGACCACAACTATCCCTCATTACCCAATAGATATGTGGCTCAACAGGACTTTCATATTGATTAATTGGGAGACAGCAGTGCTGAATTAATGCACCCCATCCCTCCATTGGACATATACCCCTTTTCCCCCTCCAGATTAGGATAGAAAGTCTTTGTATCATTTTTAAAAAAACTGCATTGATCTAGTCATAAGTGCACAGGCAAAATTATTTTTATTCAGATGCACAAGCGTACCAAGTATACAATATAAAAAAGACAGAAGGAGAAAAAAAAGGGGAGGGGATCAACATTTTTGCTACTTCAACTTCTCTCTAATGTTTATGTTTAGTAAAGCTCAAGTGAAAATGTGGCTTCATCTACCTAAATGCCTGCTAGATTTTGATTTTGGACAGATGGGCTGTAGAAAAAAACAGATTTTGTGTTCCATTTATAAAAACATTCCATAGATACAAACTGGTAGACTTAATTTGAAAAGGGGCAATAGCCTGATCTTAAGAGAATAATATTTTCAGATGTCCAGAATGTGATATATTTTATTTAGATTGTTTGGATGGCGGATAGCTTGACTATGACTCTGGCTTTCTTACTCTTTTTTTGAATGAAAAAGATATTATATTAATATAAGAAAAGTGATAAAAATTATGGGAAGGAAGGAAATCAAGAGACCAGTCACACAACTTGGAGAAATGTCTTTTCAGAGAAATAAGCAGAGCTTTTAAAAATGACATTAATAGCATTCCCAGTGCAAAGCAAACAGTGATCTCTACAGTTGTTGATGTATCCCCACAGAAGATGCCAGGTCACCCAGGCAGAGAATTTTTTCAGTCGCCTTTTCTTCTGGCAGGCAAGTTTATTACAGGGTAGTTGAAGTGTTACCAGAGGAACTTGAATAGGTGGATCCCTTCCTATATCGAATCAGGATCTCTTTGCTGATCATACCTCGTGAGAACAAGATCTTGAGGAAGTTGTTCCGGAATTTCTGTCCTATAAAAGCGTATATGATGGGATTGATACAGCTGTGAGCAACTCCCAAAATCTCAGTACCTGACAAAGCATCATCAATTCTTTCTCGAACTGAGCAGGTGTCGTTAATGTAGCGAAGTCTCAACAAAGTATCAAAAAGCAGGGCGATGTTGTAGGGCAGCCAACAGATCACAAAGACCAGCACGACGGCCAAGATTACTTTCATTGCCTTCTTCTTTTGCTTGTTCTTCATCTGGTGGAGTCTGTGCACTGTTATTCCATAGCAAATGATCATGATAGTCAAGGGGAGGAGAAAACCAAACACCTGAGGTAAAATTCTCAATATTACCCTCCATTCAGCTGTTTGATTCCCACCAATGTTCTCATAACAAACCCTGTTAGAGACATTTGAGAGTTTAAAAGCTTCCCGGAAGCGGATCACAGGAAGCGAGAAGAGGAAGGCAAAGAGCCAGATGCCGATGCAGACAAATTTGACCCAGTGCCTCTTCTGAGTAGCGGCCCGAGTAGCATAAACTATTGCCAAATAACGATCAAAACTGATAAAGGCCAATAGGAGGACACCACTGTAGAAGTTGACTTCCTTCAGGACTGAGGCATTTTGCACATGAAAGTGCCAAAGATCCACTCATGAGCTCGATACACAGCCCAGATGGGCAAGGTGACTGCAAAGAGAAGGTCGGCAATAGCCAGGTTCAGGAGATAAACATCAGTAACAGAATGGGTTTCTTTGCTGTAGCTCACCACCAGAATCACCAAGGAGTTGCCCAGCAGGCTCAAAATGCAAACCAGCAAATAGATAACAGCTACAATATATTTTATTGTATCTGTTGTTTGATGTTCTTTGCAAGGTTCTGTAAGTTTACCTAGGAAATCTAAAGTACCATTTTGGAAATCACTATAGTTATCTGGGCTTCCTGAAAACATCCAATCCTCCCAATTGGCTTCGTATCCTTCCATCTTGGATCTCTTGCTGTAGACCTGTGTAGAACATGAAGCAAAGGCAGATCAATAACTTTTTCTAAGCAAAAGGCAACCTCCTGATCATAAAGTGATTCTTTAAGGCATCCAACAGAGATCAAAACTGTTCAAAAGAAAGTTAAGCTAATAGACTTTGAACATGGCACTGGGCATACACAGTTCCATTCAGTTGTTAAATTGAAGACTGCTCATCTCATGAATGCCACTGGGAAACCCTGCCTCTCTGTTAATGATGCTAAGCCTCTGTGGCACCTAGGCATCCAGCATAAATATGTGCAGGAGGAATGCACGTGTGTGAAGGATGACTTCTACATGGCCAAGACCCAGCTAAACACACAGATGACTATAGAAGGCTGAGCTGCTTTATAGCATCATAAACAGGAGAAGGAGAGAAACACTGCAGCTTTCCTAGATTCCTTCTGTCCTTGTATGAACAAAATAAAAGATCACTCTAAATATATATATATTATATATATCCTTTATTTCCCCCCACCCAACTCCAATTTTGGATACCCTGTGGCTGATTTCAAAATAAATCTGCTCAGCAGCTGAACAAAGAAAACAACATGAGCTCCCATAGATCTGTTTAGAGTGGTGCAAGGACCTCAACGGAAAATGGTCAGAATTATTGGAATCCACAAATAAATGCTTTTAACATCAAAGTAAAACTATTCTTCATTTCAATGTGACAGATATTAGGGATTTTTAATGACGTGTAAGTATTGAAACATACATACATGATCAGAGGCAGAAGGACTGTCAGTTTTGTTCTTGTTTGTTCTGACATATAAAGAATGTAACAATTACAAAGCATAGTTATTAGTTTGGGTGTGTGTCTTTTTTCTCTCATTTCCTCTGTGTATGAAGTTTTCATTATATTCATTATATGCTTATGAATAAATTCATAGAGAATGCTTGGGGGCATGCAAAAGGTGTTGCATTGATCAGGGAAAGGACTTTATATTTTATAACTTATATTTACTGTATATAGTGTATATTTTTATATTATGTGGTTTTATTTATATTTTTAATTTATGGCTAGTTTTTTCTTGTTGTATACCACCCAAAGACACATTGTTTGAGTTGGGCAGCATCATAGAACTCATAAATAAATAAATAGTACATGAAAACAGCTACTGATTAACAACTAGTGATTGTATGCCACATCAATTTTTATTCTTAATTATGAAAACACAACTTGGGATTTTTCTAACTTCACAGAAAGAAACAAAAGGAGAAATATACTTTAATACAATCAGAAATCTCCTTTTTCTTATCTTTTTGTACTAAATGACTATCATTCTTTGAAACTGTATATTTTCTAATTTTAATTGATTTTTATTGGGCGGGGTTGTGTATAACAATTTTAATTCATTACTCATATTCTTGAAGACCTAGGCAGTGAAAGTGCTTGATTTATAATCTCTCTAAATCAGGGATGTCAAATTGGTGGCCCGGGTGCATCACATGCAGGCCATGCCCACCCGAGCTCTGTGAGGGGAAAAAACATCATGAAACGTCATATGATGGCAACGTGATGTGGTGAGTTTCACACCTGGGCTCTAAATCATTCCTACAAAAAATGCAAATCAGAATTTACACCACTATTAAAGGTAGTTTGGGAATCTCTGTATAAGGAAATTACTTGGCAAATATTGAAGGCCACTTCAGAATATCTTCTGTATATAATTGCAAATGCTGTGTGTCACATAATGAAAAGTACTGAATACTCTGTACACCACTTTGATGACTTCCAGAACTATTGGATTATCCTTATTTTCCTTATGCTAAAAAGCAAAAGAAGACGAACCACAATCAGCGGTTCAGCTATCTTACTATGAGATCTGAAGAAAACCTACAGCTAAGAGTAGCTACTTTGAGGTAAATTCTCTTTTAAAATGGATTGAGGTTATTTTGAAAACTTTACGTTCCATGGAGCTGTTCCTATTGTTTTGCAAATTTAGTGTTCAATATTTCTTTTCTGCATTAATGAAATAATGGAAATACTAATAAAGGAGAATATTGGCAGTTCAACATTGAAATGAAGGGTCCTTGGTGGTCTCTGATCTTGGTTGTTTTCTTGTGGATACATATTTCATTATCCAAACCAGGTAACTAACATCATTAGTAATGAAACATCTGCAGGAAAACAATGAAGTGAGGAGAGCATCAAGGACTCCTCATAATGGAAACATTCAAGCACTTATTCTGGATAGATCCTTATTTTTAACTTAAGATAGGGGATGATTCTGCAAAGGCACTCTTTGTGTACTTAAGGATGCTTGATTCCAGATATACAAGTGCCAACAATTAAAAGACATTGTGCAACTCTTTTCCTACTTAATAGACTAGAATGAGAACAAAGGTGACAAGGCATTTTCACCAAAGAAGTTTGTTCTGCAACTACCTTCATTAGGAAAAATTCATCATTGTCATTACATAGAACTGCAAAGTCTTTTCCTATTCTGTAAAGAAATTCTGATTCTGTTTAATTTAAGATGTGATTGTTTTGCATCCCATGGCTTTCCTTGTCTTCTTTGCATTAGCAGCATCCTTGATGCTTTATATTCTTGGGAAGGATTGGAGATAAGAGAAAGGGACCTACATTTTGCATAACCTTGGTATCTCTATGGCCCCCACCTCAACTCCTCAATATTATATTATGAAGGGAGTTGCATTCATCCAGCAACAGGTATTATTCAGAATTCTCAAACAGCCTTTCTTCCTCAACCTGGCATATTCCAGGTTGCAAAATGCATAATCAAGTGAAGGGCTCCCAACATGAAATATTTTAATTACATATAAACAGCAGATGTCTATGTCCACTAACTATCTTTTCATCAAAATGTCTCATCTTCTACGATAGCCTTTCCCAGCCTGATAACCTCCAGATGCATTGAATAATGTTTTCCAGAATCCCATAAATATTTTGACTGCAGATGAACAGAACTATAGTCCAACTCACCTGGAGGGCACTAGATTGGGAAAAAGTATTCTAGGTTTGTAATAATTGCATTTTGAGGCATAAAGGGAGTACAGCTTGAGTTTTAATAGTCTTAGCATCCAAAACTCTGTCCACAGAATTCATTTTACTAAATAATTCCTGCTCACCCTCCATTCCACTCTTAGGCTCTCCAACTTCCTGCTTATTCATTCCACTTTTATGTAAAATGAGTAAGAGTATGTTCTTTACTTACCTGCCTTCTCTGGAAAGTCCTTTTACCAATACACAAATTTGAGTCTGAAGGTTCAACCTTACCAGGAGGAACTGACCATTGTAAAACCTTTCTCCACAGTAGCCAGAAAAGAACATCAGATCCTTCTAAGTACTTCCTCAGAGAACTTGTGAATAAAGCAACAGGAAATTGCTCACACAGTTTAGCAAGTGGACATCTCAACTGTTCTAGTGCCTGTAGAATTTGCAAGGTGGACCTTTGAGATTTGCACCTCTCTGAATTTCCTCGGTAGCCATGCAAGCACCAGGTTGGGAAGACTGCTGCAGAGCTGGGGGAAAGAAAGAAAGAGAGAGAGAGAGAGAGAAAGAGAGAGAGAGAAAGAGAGAGAGAGAGAGAGAGAGAGAACAAACGGAAGGCAGGAAAGCAGGAAGGCAGGAAGGGAAGGGAGGGAAGGGAAGGAAAAGGAAAAGGAAAAGGAAAGGAAAGGAAAGGAAAGGAAAGGAAGGAAAGGAAAGGAAAGGAAAGGAAAGGAAGGAAAGGAAAGGAAAGAAAGGGAAAAAAACTATTGGTATGAATGAAACATCAGGTATTATGCTGCAAAATGCGATGACCCATTTGCTCAAGGATTACAGAGTATAAACTATATGCTTTGTAACTTTCCTATGCTCTTATTCAAACTGGCATCTCTGAATCTCAATGCTTCATTGACATCTCTAGGTGGGAAGATGAGAAAAGGAGAGCTGAAATTTGGCAATAAACAGCAATATAAACTTGTAACTATGAAAGACAATCATACAAAGAAATAGAAGGGCTTTTAGATGAGCCTCTTATTTTGCAACTTTCCTGTTTTATTCATAGAGAAATTTACAATGCAATAATGCTGTTTTCCATTTGTAACCCCTCTTTGCTCTTATCACTGTTTTTTTTTTAACACACACACCTACCCTATCCTGTTAGGGAGGAAAGCATAGAATTGTACAATTGTGCTTTTAGCTAATAGCATTATAAGAAATTTATTTAGAAGCATTACAGTAGAAGATCACTAGAACAGGTACTTTAGCACAATAATGAAATAAGCAGTAATATTTAGAGGAACAGCATTAAAGGCAGCAATATTGAGATAGTATAAAGATGTAAAGATAGAGATGGGGTGGGCAGATGCCCAAACAGTACTTCGCCTATTTACAGCTACCCTGACTCATAAGATACATCTGATCCTTTGGGGAAAGTGTGATCCTTTGGGGAAAGCACATACACAATCCTCTTGGAAATGGTTGTTTACATACTGTGTATATGAAGTCTTGTGAGGCCTTGTATGCTCCTGGAGATGTTCATTTGGGAAAAAATCTCATGCATGATCAATCACTGAGATGAAATCTATGTTTCTGGGGCAGTATCCATCTGATTAATTGATAGCGAGAACATGGGAGAGGTAAACATTTCTTCCACCAAGTCCTGTTTATCACGAGCATTTGGGTGGCATGAATGCTAGAATAGAAGCAGAGGTGGTATTCAGACAGTTCGAACCCATTCACCCGAACTGGTAGTGGAAATCACAGGTGGGCAGAGGTGGTATTCAGCTGGTTCAGACTGGTTTGCCCGAACTGGTAGCAGAAATTGCACATGGGCCCGCCACCAGCTCTATGGCACCCTATTTAGGCATGTTTTTGAGGCCGGGTGCATGCACGGAAGGCACGTGCAAGTAAAGCACATGCACGGAAGGCCAGACGCATGCGTGGAAGGCAGGCATACACGCAAACTGAATTGTGCGTGCGTGCACATGGTAAACCAATAGTAACATAATGTGAAATCCACCGCTGAATAGAAGGCCACTCACCAAACTTATTTTGAGAAGGTTGAATTTATTATGGTAGCAGCTGGAAGGAGTGACTTAAATATGGTTTAATTAATTAGGATGAACTTTTTAAAAAAGATATATATATATATTGTTAGAAAGCTTTAAGTTAGTTTTGTATGTATAAAATGAGTATGTATGTATATGCAGGTATGCTGGTTTTTTTAAGTAATGCTGAACAATATCTTAAAGTCAGTAAAATATTATGGACTAGATTTGAAAATATGAGAATGGATTATATATTATTCCCTATAGCAAGGGAAGCTGAGATGGTTAAAATGTTTCCTTTATCCAAATAAGAGATTCTATTTAATTTTGTCTCTAGTTTGAAATTGCTTTCAGATTTTGTGTTTGCAATGAGGAAAAAAAATGAAACTTTGATTGTGTCTTTGTAAACTAGACAGGCTTATTGTTAGAGAAATGGCTTGTACATACTGATGTGTAAAAGCAAAAAGTTGTAGTTGTAATGTTGTTACCTTTGACCAGTGGTGGGTTCCAACCAGTGTTACCACTGGTTCTCTTCGCGCACACGCTTTGCGCGTGATCGCCGTGCGCATGCTCACTTCACTCGCACGCATGCCAAACTTGCGCTCCGCGCAAGCACATTAAATTTCTGCCCAGCTGAGGCACAGCAATCCACTCTGCCATGCCTAACAGCTAGGCTAAAAAACGACAAATAAAGGTAGGTATAATGCGGGAGTGGGCAACTCACAGTCATAGAGAACCAGTTTGCTGACATCACATCATCACCACTACCGGCTCGCCCGAACCGGGCCAAACAGGGAGCAACCCACCACTACCTTTAACTGTGCCAAAGAGAGTCAGAAGTTGGTGCCTTTTTCCTTTTTTTCCCCTCCCATTACACTATACACGCCTCTTTTCCCTTCCTCTTGTCTTACTTTTCCATGCGTTTTTTTCTTTCTATTTTATACTTTGATAAACTAATAAAAAGTTTTAACTGGCAATGTATTAGTAGCACATGACAATATCTTCCGAAGTGACTTCTCATTTGTAAAACCTTTTTTCCATGTATTTTTTTAGAGCTAGAAAATCACTTTCTGACTGGTGCACAAAAATCATTTTGCTTTGTAAAACGTGGTTTCATTTGATCTGTGGTTTCAGTTTGTCTCAACATCACACACCAGAAGCTTGCTAAATGCTTGAGCAGCAAATACTCAGTAATACTGTGATAACAGTTTCAACAGTGGACAACAATTCAGCACAGGCATTTAATATTTGATTCAAAACTCTCTCCTTTGTCTTGCTCAGACCTCTTTTGTCATTCCTATTGCTTTATTTGAATATCTGTAGGGACTTTTTAGAAAAAAACTGATTGCTCTCTTATGATTCTAGCTATAACTCCTAGCATGTATTGTAGCTCATAACCAACATTTGACCTTCAGCTCCAGAAATTTAGAAGAAGTTTAGTGTCTGGAAATTGAGTCGAGATGTAGCTGTATAGAGCGGGAAAAGGAATACTGTATACTTATTGAAACAAAACCCGTATCTTGACTTCTGTGTTCCAGCCTACAGCTCAATAGGCACCAAGCAACCATCTAAACAGCAGCAGGTGAATGTGGTAGGTCAAATATGTTTGGTGACAGCACTTTAGACTGTCTTAACAGAATATTTTCTTGTTATTGTTTTTAAAAATCTTAATTTTCAAAACATCTTATAATCAGTGTGCCTGGTTGGAGAGGCTTTCTTTTATTTAAATGTTTTAGATTGCTTAACCTTTTCTGGAATAAACAGTGCATGCTTTCAAGTAAGGTGCTTAGCATAAGAGCAGTGTTCCTTAGAGTCCTATCACTGGAGTGAATTTAAATTGCGCAACAGAAAGTGTTTAGAATATTTCCCTCCCCAGACTAGCAGAGAGTTTCTCTCATTTACTCTAAAAGATCAGGAACAGGGAAGCAATTGAAGTGCATGGAATGGCAGAGAGGAATAAGAGAGACATGTGTGGTTATGTATTGTGGTGTACATAAGACCATTCAGCCCAAATTCTGAAGTTACCTACATTAGCTGTACCTCTATCTGCTATATTGCTACAGTGTTGGCCAGAAGGCTGGCTAGATACAAGCACCCAGTGTGAAGAAGCCAATGTCCACACAAGATCAAGGAAAGACAAAACTCTTTTATTTCTGTTCAAAAGCAGAAGAAGACACTTCTGAGTTTCACACCCAAGGAGCACATCAGAAATCAGGCTTAGTTATTTTTATATAATTTACCACTGGAAACGAAAGTAAGAGAATTGCCAATTGGTTACAAAGTTACTTGACAGTCACGCATGTGCACAAAGCAAAGTCATCCCATAGTACTCTATTAATTAGTTAATCTTACTTCATTATCATATATATTAAGTACCCCTCAGTATGTTTTTTATTATGCTAAAGATAAACTTATTCTTGTCCGGACACCTCTAACCATTGCTTAAGCTAAATGTCACCTTCCTTGGATCCAGTAATGGATTTGCTTGCAAAATGCCTTAGTTGAGTGACAAATCTACAACCTGTTAGCCTATACAATAGACATTTGTGATCAGCCTATGGAGTGTTTTTGGTAGACCCTTCTAGCTCTTTCTGACAGGTGTTAAAAAGTGTCCCCTAGTAGGCAAAGAGCAACTAATAGCTCTGTCTAAAGTTAATTCATAGCTTACAAAAAGCTTCTAATTACTTATTAATAAGCTAATAAAAATTAGGCAAATTTCCACTCTTCATGCAGTAAGAGGCACAGGATATTTCAGTGGTCTACATCTTCTATGACAACACCAACAGTGGTAGCCTCATTTAGCCAAATGCTAGGCTCTGCCATTAATCAACAAAACACAAGAGTGTGAAAAATCCAATAGTTATATAAGGTCTTCTGTTTAAATTCCCCCATTTAAGCAATCTCACAGAATTAAAGTAATCCTTCTGGGATACTAATTATGAAAAGATGGATCTTGAGAGGACAGCATCTCTGGTACAGATCAAAGTTCAAAAGGACTTCTCTTAGCTGCAAAATCATATATATGAAAGAATGAAGAGCTGCCATGTAGCTCCATGACAGGAGAATGAAACACACTGCATCTTTTGTTGATTTTTCTCTGAATAGTTTCTCGAGGAAAATATCTTTCTGACTCAGACATATGCCAATTTACAGCTTAAATTATTTTGGATGTATTATAATTATTATTTATGGATTCTATGGAAGCATTCATAGAAAATATGGAACAAATTATGGAATAAGTTGAAGTCTGAATTACTGCACTTTGTCAATGACATGTTAGGATTAAAATCATTTGTTAGAATTGATACAAATAGAGAGACTATAGAAAGATGCCCAAGGCAATTCTTTCCTATCAGAACTGCCCGAGTCATTTACAAAGCACCTTCTATCAGCAGAGGGAACTACTGGTTGATTTAACAGATATTCCAATATTCAGCCAATTTGTCCCTGCAATTGCACTTGTGGTCAATTAAAGCTTATTTATTGGGGGGGGAGAAACCCTTCCCTCCCTCTTTCTCAGTATGTGGGTGAGGGTGGGACCATTAAATCCAAATTTCTGTTAAAACCTAATGCATGTCATGTAACTAAAGTTAGGTCATTTGTGTAATAATTTTATATAAATGGGTCCATTTGCAGTAAAATCTCTGTTTAACAGACAAATCCTTAATGGAGATGAAGTCAAAACTAAATGTTTGATTATATGCAAAGTCTGTTCAGCTGCGATCCAAAAGCCAAGCTTTTATATCAAAGTATCTACAGTTCTTAATACATTGCTTAGGATTTAGGACAATACAATGTCCTAAATCACCATATTAAAATTAAAAAAGTGATAAAAATTATGGAAAGGAAGGAAATCAAGAGACCAGTCACAAAACTTGGAGACATGTCTTTTCAGAAAAATAAACAGAGCTTTTAAAAATGACGTTAATTAGCATTCCCAAATCAAAGCAAAGAGTGATCTCTACAGTTTTTAATGTATCTCTATGGAAGATGCCACATTGTTCAGACAAAGAATTTTTTCAGTTGCCTTTTCTTCTGGCAGGCAAGTTTATTACAGGGTAGTTGAAGTATTACCAGAGGAAGTTGAAAAGCTGGATCCCCTCCTATATCGTATCAGGATCTCTTTGCTGATCATACCTTGTGAGACCAAGATCTTGAGGAAGTTGTTCCGGAATTTCTGTCCTATAAAGGCATATATGATGGGGTTGATACAGCTGTGAGCAACTCCCAAAATCTCAGTACCTGACAAAGCATCGTCAATTCTTTCTCGAACTGAGCAGGTGTCGTTAATGTAGCGAATCCTCAACAAAGTATCAAAAAGCAGGGCGATGTTGTAGGGCAGCCAACAGAGCACAAAGACCAGCACGACGGCCAAGATTACTTTCATTGCCTTCTTCTTTTGCTTGTTCTTCGTCTGATAGAGTCTGTGCACTGTTATTCCATAGCAAATGATCATGATAGTCAAGGGGAGGAGAAAACCAAACACCTGAGGTAAAATTCTCAATACTACCCTCCATTTAGTTGTTTGATTCCCACCAATATTCTCATAACAAACTGTGTGATGGGGATTTGAGACTGTAAAAGCTTCCCGGAAGCGGATCACAGGAAGCGAGAAGAGGAAGGCAAAGAGCCAGATGCCAATGCAGACAAATTTGACCCAGTGCCTCTTTTGAGTGGCGGCCCGAGTAGCATAAACTATTGCCAAATAACGATCAAAACTGATAAAGGCCAATAGGAGGACACCACTGTAGAAGTTGACTTCCTTCAGGACTGAGGCGATTTTGCACATGAAAGTGCCAAAGATCCACTCATGAGCTCGATATATAGCCCAGATGGGCAAGGTGACTGCAAAGAGAAGGTCGGCAATAGCCAGGTTCAGGAGATAAACATCAGTAACAGAATGGTTTCCTTTGCTGTAGCTCACCACCAGAATCACCAAGGAGTTGCCCAGCAGGCTCAAAATGCAGACCAGAAAATATATAAATGCTACAATATATTTCATTGTATGTGTTGTTTGATGTGATTTGCAAGGTTCTGTAAATGGACCTAGGAAATCTAAAGTATCATTCAAGTAATCACTATAGTTATCTAGAATGCCTGACAGCATAATCTCGTCCCAATCGAATCTGTTGTCTCCCATCTTGGATCTCTTGCTGTAGGCCTGTGTAGAACATGAAGCAAAGACAGGTCAGTAAGTTTTTTCTAGGCAAAAGGCAACTTCCTGATCATAAAGTGATTCTTTAAGGCATCCAACAGAAATCAAAACTGTTCAAAAGAAAGATAAGCTAATAGACTTTGAACATGGCACTGGGCATACACAGTTCCATACAGTTGTTAAATTGCAGAATGCTCATCTCATGAATGCCACTGGCAAACCCTCTTCCTGCTAATGACGCCAAGCCACTGTAGCACCTAGGCATCCAGCATAAATATGTGCAGGAGGAATGCAGGTGTGTGAAGGATGCAGTAGTGGGATTCAAATAATTTAACAACCGGTTTTCTAACTGAAGTGGTGCGAACTGGCTGAATCCCACCACTGGAAGGATGACTTCTACATGGCCAAGACCCAGCTGGATTTGTTTAGGTGGAGATGCTAGACTTTATGTTAACATTTGTTTTTTTTATGTTTTGAATTTCTATCCGCAAAAGATGTAATGGGAAATTGAATGGAGCTTGTTAAAGGAATGTAAGCGTGGTAACCATTTATGACCGGATCGAGACTTTGTTCTTAAAAGTTATATTTTATGTTTATGTTTGGGGGGGGAAAATATTTACAAAAAAAAATAAATAAAAGAAAAGGGCTGTCAATTTTATCTTTGTTCTGACATATAACAATTATAAATCATAGTCGTTAGTTTGGATGTGTGTTTTTTTTCCTTTTTTCTAGTCTTTTATTTCATCTGACTATGACATTTATTGCTTATGTAATTATTATAACTAGATTTGTAGGCAATTGATGCATGGGGGGAGGCAAGAGGCATTGCATTAGTTAGGGAAGGCACTTAGGGGAATGGAAAGAGTCAGGGAGGGTGTATAGGCATGCACAAGAGGTGCTGCATGGATTGTGGAAACCAGGAGAGGCAGTGGGGGCGGGGAATACACAGGGGCAGCACAGGTTAGGGGAATGCATAGATGAGAGGGTTGGGGTACATGGGTTGGGTAAAGTACCCTGAGGTTCCATCCTTCCCTTCCCTTCCCTTCCCTGTAGACACATAGCCTACTGGGAAGTGGCTGCTGCTGGGTAGGAGAGGGAGTGAGGGATTGAGAGATTGGCTAGGAAACTGTCACAGAGTATTGAAAATGAAGATCGTATTGCCACAATAGCAGCACAGCAGTGTAGCAACATCCAATAGCACTGAAGAAGCCACAACATCCCCAAATTTCACATCCTCAGGAGTCATGGGTCTTGGATTTTGGATATATTCTATAAATCAGCACATCTGAGGTACCTCGGTTCAAAAACTATTGCCCTATTTTGCCCTATTTTGCCTAGTTAACAGTCATGAAGTGGGAGTTTGACAATTGATGAGCCCATGGCCATTTGAGATATTTCATAAGACACCAAAGGCCTGCAAGGAAATCTAAACTATATGATAGCATTTCCAACAAAAGCATCCAGCAAGTTTTTTCCCCATACAGTTTAAGAATGGAAATGTCCTAACAATCCTTTATATTTTATATTTATATACTGTATGTTTCAATGTTATGTGGTGTTTTAGTTTTTGGCTAGTTTTTTCTTGTTGTATATCACTCAAAGCCACATTGTTTGAGTTGAGCACTATATATCTGGTAAATCAATTCACAATACAGGAAAACAGCTACTGATTAACAAGTCATGATGTGACTGTGTGCCCCAGCAATCTTTATTCTTAGTTATGAAAACATAAACTTGGATTTTCTAACTTCACAGCAAGAAAGAAAAGGAGAAATATACTTTCGTGCAATCCAGAAATCTCTTTTTTTCTGATGGTTTTGCAATACATCAGTATTGTTCTTCTTTGAACCTGTATATTTTCTAATTTTAATGAGCTTCTCCTTTTGATTGCGGTTGTTTTTGTGTATAACAAAATTAACATAACAATGTTAATTTTTTATTGCTAAATAACAGTAAAAAATAAAAATAACAATGTTAGTGCATTGCTTATATTCTTGAAGACCTAGGCAGGAGAAGTGCTTGATTTACAATCTCTCTCTCAATCATTCATACAAAAAAAGGCAGAACAGAATTTACAGAGCTCTTGAGCAGCCAAGGGTGGCTTGGGAATCTCTGTATAAAGACATTACTAGGCAAATATTCAATGGCACTTCAGAACATCTTCTGTATATAATTACAACTGTTGTGTATCATATGATGGAAAAAAACTGAACAGCTTTGTACGCTATCTTGGTGACTTCCAGAACTATTGGATTATTTCCTTATGCCAAAAAGCAAAAGAAGACGAACCACAATCAAGCGGTTCAGCTATCTTACTATGAGATCTGAAGAAATCCTACAACTAAGAGTAGCTACTTTCAAGTGAGGAAATTCTCTTTTAAAATGGATTGAAGTGATTTTTTAAACTTCCCATTCCATGGGGATGTTCCTATTGTTTTGCAAATTTAGTGTTCAATATTGGTTTTTTTTCAGCATTAATGAAATAATGGAAATACTGATGAGAATATTGGTAGGTCAGGGTTGAAATGAAGGGTCCTTGGTGCTGTGACCTTGGTTGTTTTCTTGCAGATGTTTCATTGTGCAAGCCAGATAGCATCATCCATAATGAATGCAAGAAAATAATCAAGCTCAGAGAGCGCCAAGGACCCCTCATAATGGAAATAATCAAGGGCTTATTCTTGGAGATCCTTATTTTTAATCTAAAGTAAAGGTTAATTCTACAGAGATATTCTCTATATACTTAAGGATGCTTGATTCCACATACACAAGCATCAACAATTAAAAGACATTGCAGCTAGTCTACTTAATAGACTAGGGGGGAAAAGTGGCAAGAACAAAGGTGACAAAGCATTTTCACCAAAGAAGCTTGTTCTGGAACTACCCTCATCTGGAAGAATTCACCGTTGCCATTTATTGCTACATCATCATGCAAAGTCTTTTCCTATCCTGTAAAGAAATCTTACCAAGTTCTGGTTTTAAATTTATAATGTGATTGTCTTGAATCCCATGTCTTTCCTTGCCTTGCTTGCATTAGCTGTATCCTTGATGCTTCATATCTTTGGGAAGGATTGAGATAAGGATCCTAGATTTTGGCTTCATGCATAACTTGTTATCTCTGTGGCTCCCATCCCAGCTCCTTGATGCGAGCTCTCAGGCAACTTGTCTTCCTCAGCATGGTATGTTCTAAGGTCCAGATTATAACTACCATCTTCTGGGTATATTTGATAAATTGAGAACATAAACAATCCAGAAGATAGTACATAAAAATTGTTTAAATATTCTCCAACCAGATATTGGAACCAGACAATATGACCAGTCTCTGGAAATCATAGGATTTGTAGATCAAGGCTTCCAAAAGATCAGCCAAAGGTTTTCTTCAATCTGGTGGCTCTAAAATACTCCCAGGGACCAACTATCCCCAACTAGATGAAAACAACAGCTTTCCTTCTCAATGCAATGAAGGATTTTAAAAAAGCTCAACAGAAAAACATGCATATATCATTACAAGCCTAGTAGCTTTTCCCTGTCTCTTTTTCCATCAATTCTCACCCCTGCTGCTGCTTCAATTACTCCATTGGTAAAACTGATCGTGCAAACAAAATGCTTAATCAGGTGAAGGGAATCCCATCTTATGAAATATTTAGCACTTAATTACAGATTAATTGCAATTAATTACTATTGCAGCAATAGTCTCCATGTCCATTAACCATCTTTTCATCAAAATGTTTCATCTTCTTTCCCAACTTGATATCCTCCAGATGCATTGAACAAATGTCTTCCAGAATCCCGTGTGCTCTAAGTATTTTGGCTGCAGATGATGAGACTTGTAGTCCATCTTACCAGAAAGGTGCTAGAGTGGGTAAAGATGCTCTAGCTTTGTAATAATTACATTTGGAGGTATAAAGAGAGTACAGCTTGAGTCTTTAATACCTTTAGCATTCAAAAGTCTGTCCACAGAATACATTTTACCAAATAATTCCTACTCACACTCATTTTCCCTCTTAAGCACCCAAATTCCCTGCTTATTCTTCATTACACAGTTAGGTAAAATGACCCAGAGTGTGTTCCTTACTTACCTGCCTGCTCTGGAGAGTCCTTTTAACAGTACACAAATTTTGATTCTGAACATTCAACCTTACCAGGAGGAACTGACCCTTGCAAAACTTCCCTCCACAATACTCAAAAAAGAACATTAGACCCTTCTAAGTATTTCTTCAGAGAACTGGTGAATAAAGCAACAGGAAGTTGTTCACACTGTTTAGCAGGTGGACATCACAGCTGCTCTAGTGCTTGTAGATTAATCTTTGCAAGGTGGATTCCTGAGATCTGCACCTCTCTAAATTTTCTAGCTACCAATGCAAGTACTAGGTTAGCAAGATTGCTGTAGAAGAAAAGGGAAGAGAAAGGAAGGGAAGGGAGGGAAGGGAAGGGAAGAGAAGGGAAGGGAAGGGAAAGGGAAGGGAAGGGAAGGGAAGGGAAGGGAAGGGAAGGAAAGGAAAGGAAAGGAAAGGAAAAGAAAGGAAAAGAAAGGAAAAGAAAGGAAAAGAAAGGAAAAGAAAGGAAAAGAAAGGAAAACTATTGGTATGAATGAAATATCAGGTATTATGCTGCAAAATGTGATCACTCTTTTGCTCAAGGATTACAGAGTGTAAGCAATATGCTTTGTGATTTTCATATGCTCTTATTCAAACTGGCACCTCTGAGCCTCAATGCTTCATTGACATCTCTAGGTGGGAAGATGACAAAAGGAGAGCTGAAATTTGGCAATAAACAGCAATATAAACTTGTAACTATGAAAGACAATCATACAAAGAAACAGAAGGGTTTTTGGTGAGACTCATATCTTATTCTAGAGAAATTTACAATGCAATCATGCTCTCTTCCATTTCTAATTTGCCTGTGCCTTGATCACTGTTTTTTTTCTTTTTACACAAACGCACCCACCCTTTCCATAGTATAGAAGCATAGAATTGTGCAATATCTTTTATT